CCCCCCCCCAACACACAGTGGACCACAGGGCTTGAGGGGAAGAGATGTGAGAGGGAGCTGGGAGCTCAGGTCAGGAAAACGGAAGCTGCTCCCAGTACAGGAGCCTAGAAGGATCCTGCAACCCACAGGTTCCTTCCACAGGGCCCTCTGGGGAGAAGGAAGCAGAATGAAGTGTCTACCCAGTTGCTGTCTGTGAGAGAGGGTGCTGATCATTCCAGTTGATAATGCCGAGCACTCCCCCTTCCTAGCTGAGACCTTGGGCCTGTGGAGACCACCAAGGGATACAGTGGTGCTTTTTAATTTATTTTTAACTGTTTTTCATATGTAGCAACCCCTCCTCCCCTTCGGGCATGTTTACACAGGTTCTGCTCCCTGGGGCTGGTCTGATTGCAGAGTTTCTGGGAGGCAGAGGCAGGGACTTGGGGCCTTAGTCACCATCCTCAGATCACCTCATTTCACTTTCTGTGAGAAACAGGAGCCTGGCTCCTGCTGACTCAGGACTGCCTTCCAGCTCTCAGCATGGGCTCCTCTGCTCCCAAGGGTGTGGGCTGCTGGCTGAGGAGAGGTCAAGGTGAGGTCAGAGAAAGCTGCTGGATGAAGGTGGGTCAAGTGGGTGGGGGTGATTGCTCCCCAAAGCCTGACTCCTTATGCTTGGTGCCAGGAAACTGAGTTTAGAAAGCCTGCCCACGCACCTAACTGCATCCTCTCCCCTCCATGGCCTCAATACGTAGTCACCCTCACCCATCACACCAGTCAACCCATCCTCCCTGGGCCTGGCTAAGTGGGGAGAGCAGTAGCCCCAGCCCCTGGTGCAATGGTGAAGCCTAGGGCCAGGGTTCTGAGGAGGAGAGAGCCCAGTTTGTCCCTGTCATCTCACACCCCACCCCTTCCAGCTGGGACTTGACTTCCTGGCCCTGGGATGGGTCTAATTCTGGCTAGTAGCCTGCCCAGAGGCCTGTGTGCACCTGGGCCTCCAGTCTGGGTTTTTTGGCTTAGCTGCAGCAGCATCCCCAGGCCCACCCTTTGGCCTTAGAGCACAGGGCGATGAGAGCTGGGCCAGCTGATTGTCTGTGTTCTTTTTGTCAGAGTTCCGCTGTGTTGACATCCCACTTTGGGAAGTCCTCCAGAGGAGTGTGGGATTGGAGCCTGGAGGTCTGCCCCAGGGCAGGCAAGGCTGCCGAGGCTGCTGAGGCTGCCGTGATGCCAGCTGCAGATCTATCAGTATTGACCCCTCTCACCCCATCTTAGTGCTCCGCCCAAATTTCACTTTCTCGTCAAATCTGATGAGAGAAGCAACCAGGTGTGCTTGGCCCCAGGCTTGACAATGTGGCCGCCCTCTCCCTTGAGTTTGTGTTGGGCTGTGTTGTACTAGATTCTGTCCTTCCTCTTCTCATATCAGTATTGCACCTCCCCTTCCATGTTCACACTTCGTCTCATTCCTGTTCTCACCCTCCTCCCCAAGGGAATAAAGTCTCCCCCGCTCTGGTTGTATGGGCTGGACGGGAATCATGACATGTGAGCCTTGTCTCCTTAACTCTGGGAGCCGGGGCTGGAGCCCACCCCAGCCACCGCTGTCACCCTCGGCGGATTCAGGAAGAACCTGACCAGAGGTGAGGGGAGCCCCAAACCAGCCAACAGGAAACCCCACAGCCCCTGCAGCCATGATGAAACTTCTGGGTTCCTTGTCTGTCACCCTCAGCCTGCTGAAGCCACACAGCTCTTGTTAACCCCAACCTGGGAGATCTTTCCTGCTGGCTGTAAACGAACCCCTCCTCCTTCATACAGCAGCTTGGCCCCGAAGGGAGGCCGGAGCCTGCTCCCAGGACAGCATATATTCCAGAACCCCTGCTCTTCCTATCCTAATCCCAGCAGTCCATCTGTAACAGAGGAAGGGTGAATGTTCTCCTGGTTATTTCAGGAAACCATAGCAACAGGGATCTGAAGTCCCTTCTCACAGTAACCAGTGCGGAATCTATGGAGTGAAAGCCACAGCTTTGGAAAACACGTGTGGTTCCATCCATCACCCAGTCTTCTGCATCATTACTGATCTGGACCTCTTCCTGTGCTTTAACATAAGCCCAGAGTTGCAAGTAGCTTTCAGAGAAATGTTTTTTAGACCGCGAAGCATTTTTCACCTTTAACCCTTCCTCCCTCTTCCTGCTCTCCTGTCATTCAGCTTGAGAGTAAAACCTAGACCTGTAAGAGGAGGTCGAATACTTCCTACTTATCCCAGCCAGTCCCCACAAAATCCTAACTAGAAGTATAGTTTAGCACAGCAAGACTCCCTCACTTTTAGTAGCAGTGATGAGGCAGGGCAGCTGGGAAGAGGAGAGGCAGTCCATTGGAATCCGCGAATGTCTCAGACTCCACACCATTAAATAGGGACAGTTTTGTTACTTATAGGCTCATTTAAATCAGGTTAATACCAAAAAAGGGCCTTTCAATAAAGGTAACCAGAACGTGGGACTAACTAGAATTATACACCTTTACACAAAGACAATGTTGCAATTTACACATTCAATCCAGCTAACAACATACCTTTAACGGCCCTGTGGGTGGGCCTCAAATGAAAGCTGGGTAAGAGCTGGGCGAGAATCTCATGAGTCAAGCAGGCTCATGGTGGACGTGGTTGGCCACTTTCTTGGAACTGATGCAGAGGTAAATCATGGACTCCAGGAGGATCAGAGCCCAACTTTCTGGGAGTTTCCTCATTTCCTGCTGCCCTGCTTCTTTCAGGCTCATAGTACATGCCCATCTGCTTTAGGCACATGACTAATTTAGGTTGGACCTTTGGATGTAGGTAGCACTTCTCAGAGCCCTGAACATGACGAGATTGAAGCTCTGCCAGGACCTGACATCTTAACCAGTGTGTTGAGGGCAGTGATGAGAGGCAGTGGTAGTCATACCAAAGACTGGCCCAGATGCAGGCTCCCTGGTATCCTTAATGTTTGCCAAGCTGGTAAGTGGACACGCTGCTGAAGCCTGGCACGTGGTAGAGATGGGCCACCTCCAGTCAACGGAAGGGACAGCTCTCTGAGGCCAGCCCACTTGGGAACGTGCCCTCTTGAACCTGCAGCCAGAAAGGAGTTGGTCGTGGGAAAGACAAAACCTCCAAGAACTTAAATGTAGAGACTCCATTCCTCTCTACAGCTGGGTGAGGTCTCAGGCCTCAGGAGCACAGAAACTGATTAGGGTTGGGGCAGAAGGCAGAGTTCCCTTCAAAACACATTAACTTACATTCTCCTAACCCAAGCAAGATCTGCACCCCAAGCTCTCATCTGACTAGCCCTTGCCTGAAACAGTTTTGTTTTGCACGTTTGCTCAGGAGGGGAAAGAGACAGGTGTACCAGGCTGCGTCTCTAGCGCAGGGCTACAGGTCAGCTCTGTGCCCCTGGAGGAAACTAGAAGGGGTGGATCCCCCTACACCTGGGAGGAGAGAAGCCACACTGCACTAAGTAACCACTAGGGCAAGAGCTGGAGACACAAAACAGTTTAAAAACAAAAACCAGCAGCAGCCTGGTTGGTAGTTTCCCTTCTCCCCAGTCAATGTGTCTGCCCTATAAGATAAGCTGTCTCTCATACTCCTAGAAAGTCTGTGTGCTAAGGAGCTTGGAGTGGCAAGAAATAAAACAAAGGAGATTCTCAATTTACCTCTGGGGTTTCTATTTCCTCAGGTGTAAAGGTAACATATGAACTCCTGTACTGCCCATCACAATGCTATTACCTACTCATAGTGGAAGTGAAGCTCTGGGTAAATGGTTGATAAAATGCTATACAAATGTTACGTGCCTCAGGCGACTAGTAGGAAACCCTGTAGGCCAGGAAAGCGGTCTCTGGGGATACACCTCAAAGCTTAGGAACTATAAAGTAATTCCCAGCCCATGAGCCAGTCCAGCCTGGCTGGGGAGAACTACCCATCCTCAACTCCCACGAATACTCTGGAATTCTTAGCAGCCCTTGCTTACCAACGCCCAAACAATGCAATTTCAGATCTGAAAATTCCTCACAAGTGGGAAAGATTATTACTTTAATTTCCATTTCACCAAGATATATGAACTGAAACATAAGGGTTAACTGACCCACAGTGACCAAGTGACTAGGCCAAGATGACAAGTGGTGTTTCTAATCCTAGGCTGTGTTCTTCCCACTGGGTCCCAACCCAGGGGGTTCAACAGGAGCACCCAGGTAGCTTTAAGTAACTCAGATTCTCAGAGACTGACTCAAAGGTGTGGGGTCTGGGGTTACATTCAGGTAAGGCAGAAAACCGCCCCTGGTTTCAGGGCTTCCCATGTGCATGCAGGCTTGGTGGACTTGCTGCTTAAGGAGGCTGGAGGAAGACAAAAGTACCAGAGGAGTGAAGCCCAGGAAGAGAAACCTTTCCAGCAACAGATGGCCCACAGCTCAGCTCTGGCTCCAGAATGCAAAAGAGATTATCAAAAATAGAAGCTCAGCAAGAGGCATCTGCCGCATGCACCATACCTCATAAAACTGCCATAGCTTTGACCAGGAAAACACTTCTCATTCCACTTTCCACACAGACCCTCCTGAAATGCAGTGTGGA